TAAATTGGCAAACTTCTATTCTCTCTTTCCCCACGTAGTCGAACATTAGGCCAAATATATACGTATTCGCATCCGATGGACCGATACTCATCCTATGTCCTGGTAATCATTGATCAAAATTCATATGAGATTTTCATTGTTTCCCTAAGAAATTGACTTAAACAAGGACATGTAATCTCGAAGCTGAGCAGCTGATCGTCCCGGAAATCCGATTTACTTAAGAGGGATCGATCGACATATAGTCCGGCAGCATAAACCTTAACACCGATGATGGCAAAAACTTTCTCACTGAACGCTGAAAGCATTAGGCAGCTAAGACAGCTTATAGTTCTTGTCTTAAATTCAAGCTCGATCAGATCAATTATCTAAAATAATCATAGATTAAGCTGTTAATGCAGTACAAAAAACAATAGATTGAAAGGAGATAATAAAAAAGCTTCAACATTTAAGAATGAACCAACTAGTATGCCCTTCACACTTTGACTCCTTTAAAAGGTCTCAACTTTTCTTTGTTTTCCTCGATCAAACTGCTACCGTCTCATCGTTTAGCTTTCAGTCGTCAAAAAAGTACTTTTCAGCTACTTTAGTTATGGTTTCATTGGAGTAAAGAAAATTTGGCCTTTTCCACTTTCACAGTTCAACTTCTCTGTACTTTCTTTTTCAGTGTCTAGTATTAATGCTTTACTGGCCTGTTTGATTTCTTTGGGAAAAAGAAAATTGTAGCTTTAAATAAATAAATAAAGAGATTAAATTCTTCAAATTAAAAGATGGGAGATTGAATTTTAAAAGCTCCAAGGAGTAGGGTAATTGGGATAGATTTGAGCAAAGATACGGCCTCTTGATTAGCTTCGAAGGAATCGTAATTGTTATTAGAGGTCACGGGTTCGAACACCCGCGGTTATAGTAGAATGATTGAATGTTCATTGTTAAATAATTGATAGTATTTAGAATAGATACTGTTTTGTAATAACCTTAATAAAAAATTAATATACTTTCATATAATATATAATTTTATATTAATTGAATATTTTAAGAAATCAATAATTGTATGATTTAAATCGATTGGATTCAAGTTAAACAAATTTATTAGGTCATCATCATAACAACAAATTGTCAATTTTATTTCTTTTTTCAAAAATAAATCATATCGAAGAAGAATCAAACACGTGGCCATTTTTTTAATGATCACTCAGTCGTAAGAGATATAAAGAAGGCAGCACATGGCCCTTGTTTAGACAAGCAACAGCCGATTTTGCAACAAGGCCGGCCTCTTGATTTTTGACCCAAATATGAGGCATTTCTTTAATTTCCATAAATTTCGTTTTCTTGTATATAATTTTTTTCCCTTTTTACTTATGTTCGAAACATATCTCCCTGTTTTTGGGGTCCAGAAAACATCAAGAGTCTATCAAAACTCACGGAACTTGATAAGCAGCTTAGGACAAAACTGCAAGAAAGTTCTATGTGGGATTTTTTCATCCACCCAAAATTTTTGAATACTTGTTTAACTTAAGAGCATCATTGTCCTTTTATTTTTCTTGCAAGAGAAATGGAAGCCTTTTCTAATTTCAACACACCTTTTGAGCTCTTTTGAACTTGTTTTTACTGGCTTTTGTTGAATACCCAGTTTTTGTTTCAGCTCGTTTTCTTCATTTTGGTGATTGTTTTATGGGAATTTGACAAGAAAGGTGGAGTCTTTATTTCTGGGTTTTTGTCCTAAAGAGTGAAAGTTACATTTTTGCTATTTTTTCCCTTCTGTTGGGTGTTGATATTAAGAATGATGTCAACGACATGCCATAATATTGATTTTGGAACAAGAGTGCCTGATTTGGTTGCCGTTGGCTCGTCTTCAAATGCTTCAATTGAAAGGCACTGGGTGAAGAGTCACGGGAAGACATTTACTAGTAAAGTCTATGGAGCTAGAAGAATGGTTTGCAGCAGGCAGAACATTAGTAGAACTCGTCTGTTCTCCACAAATACTTCTCAGTCTCTGCTTGATGGTAATGTTTTGCTATCTAAATACCGTTCAAGTTTCAACCTTGCTTTTGGTTGTAAGTTATTCAAATTCATTTTTTTAATTCAATTTTATACTTGGTTGTTTTAAAAATTTGCTTTGGCATGGTATCTTTATATGGCTATATCTAAGTAATTGGTTTTATGCTTTTGTTGTTACTATTGGATTCATATACATGGAGCCATTCTTTTGGTTTCTTGAGATTTGAGTTCAATATTTGAAATTAATTTGGTCTCATTTTGACATCAAATGTAGGAGTTGGTGAACGAACTGCACCAGTGTTGGATTTGAAGAAAGAGACTAAAGTTCCCATTTCACTGGGTAACTTGTTTGAAGTGGTTGCTGATGACCTCCAGACTCTAAATCAAAATCTCCAGTCAGTGAGTGCTTATTGAGAGTTTAATTCTTATCCATCCTTAATAGTTCTGTTGTCATATATAAAAATTTCCCCATGTTCGAAATGATTTTGTTTCAACTGCTATAGTTGCTCCTAAGGTTTTGCACGTTTTGGTTCGGCACTTGAGTCCAGATGAATTGACTTACAGTATATATGATGCTTCCTTGTTATTGGAATCTAATATTTGCTTGATAAATTATGTATAGCTCTTTTAATTTGTCGGCTTAGGATCTACTTTTTGATCTGATTCTGATTGGTTAGTTTTTTTGAAGTTGTTGATGTTAGTATGTATCTGATGATGATGGTCTGCTAGATTGTTGGTGCAGAGAACCCTGTTCTAATGTCCGCAGCCGAGCAGATCTTTGGTGCTGGTGGTAAAAGAATGAGACCTGCCCTGGTGTTCTTAGTTTCAAGAGCTACAGCGGAGTTAGCCGGATTGAAGTAATGTTTTGGGACTCTCTAACATATTCAAAACGTTTTAATTATTATGTTAGGCTAACCTCCATTTTGTTTTGCTTCCTTTCCAGGGACCTTACTACAGAGCATCGACGTTTGGCTGAGATCATTGAGATGATTCATACTGCAAGCTTGATACATGATGATGTATTAGATGAAAGTGATATACGAAGAGGTTAGCCCGTAAATTAAAATCTTTATATGTTCAATGTGTTGTTCTTATTTTCAACTCTCCCAAGTTAAATAGCAACGATCTAAAATCAGAAGAGGTATTAGTTCTTTTATTCAAGTGAAGTAAGAAACGAGTGGTCTGTGGTTTTGGTCTTATCGTGACATTGATCATTCCAGTCAATGTATCATCTTGGTGTATGAGTTACTCTAGGCTAACTCTATATCATTGTCGAAGGTGAGATTCTGCAGCAGGAAAAGGGAAAAGAAAAGTTTTAAGAATGAAATTGCCAGAGTTTTAAAAAAATACTATGTTTTTTCTGTGATTACGAGTGTGAGATTCTTTAATCCTTACCATTTCTTAGATATGAAAGAGTTGGGCAAAACTACACGTTCTTCGCACTAAATGAGGCTACGATTCGAGTCTTCAATACCCTTGTCTAAGGGCAGAGAAAAAGTTTCTATTTCAGTATATAAAACAATCACATACGATTTGTGGGCATCTATGTTCATTTTATACCTCCCTACAAATTTTGGTAGTTGTGGGGTAGTTGAGAGGCAAAACTCTCGCCAGTTTTCTTGTCTGGGCATGTTAGGGAGAGGAACTACTGCATCTAGCCATCTAACCATTCCATAGAATGGTTGGGACTGCTCGGTTTTAACTTGCGTTGCTACTTGTAATGGTAATAATAGAAAAAAGAATCATGGGGAGCTTGAATTTCTTTGATATCCTTTTCCTCCTAGTCTTTCATCTGTTGGGAGAATGCTGATTTGAAAGTTGAAACTGTATGTTAACTTAATTACAGGAAAAGAGACTGTTCACCAGCTGTACGGCACGAGAGTAGCTGTACTGGCTGGGGACTTCATGTTTGCTCAGTCGTCATGGTACCTTGCAAATCTTGAAAACCTTGAAGTCATCAAGCTTATCAGCCAGGTATGTATGACGTATGCCTAACGTACCTTCTTGTTCGAATGTAATCCCAAGTAACACGATATTTGACTCAGGGTTTCCACCTGTAGGATTGGAAATGTGCTCTGGCTATGGAGATAGTTTCAGTTAAATTAGTCTGAATCTTATCCTTACATGATATTGCAGGTTATTAAGGATTTTGCAAGTGGTGAGATTAAGCAGGCATCAAGTTTGTTCGACTGTGATGTCGAACTCGAGGAGTATTTGCTAAAGAGTTACTACAAAACAGCTTCACTGATTGCAGCTAGTACCAAAGGAGCCGCTATTTTCAGTGGGGCAGATCGTAGCGTAACGGATCAAATGTATGAGTTTGGAAAGAACCTTGGCCTATCATTCCAAGTTGTTGATGACATATTGGATTTCACACAATCAGCAGAACAGCTAGGGAAACCAGCTGGTAGTGATCTAGCAAAAGGCAACCTCACAGCACCTGTAATCTTTGCGCTCGAAAAAGAACCAAAACTTAGAGAAATCATCGAATCCGAGTTCTGTGAGACCGGTTCCCTCGAAGAAGCAATCGAGCTGGTAAAACAGTGCGGTGGAATCGAAAGGGCACAAGAGTTGGCAAAAGAGAAAGCCAACCTTGCGATCAAGAATCTCCAATATCTTCCTCAAAGCAATTTCCGATTCGCTCTTCAAGATATGGTGGTGTTTAATCTTGAAAGGATTGATTAATTTAGATAATCCAAAACAAACAGCTTCAGACATGACAGAAAACAAGGCATGAAGTTGAAGCCTGTGCCCATATAGAACAGCTTTTCTTAGGACTCACTGGTTGTATATTCATACAAGGGATCGAGCTTTGAGCTCCAAGTATCAGTTTCTTCAAATTGTACATTTGTCTGAGAAACCGAAAAATAATTCTCTGGTAAATCAAATTATTGAACAATGAAGCATTTGAGGTCATCAATATTAAGCTAATAAACTTTAATTTCCATGTACATGTTTGTGTAACTTATGTCAAGTTCTAAAGGTACCATTTTGGGGAAAAAAAACAAAACTTCCGAGTCAGATGGGTAAATAAGAACTAATCTATGGATATTATATCAATTTACGGAACTTACTTAAACCCAACAAACCCCTAGAAGAGGAAAGAGAAAAAATGAGACAATGGAAAATCATAGCAAAGGAGGCCATGGCTCGAGCTTCCATTATCGCTAAATTCTTTGGCGTGCTACACGTCACCAACACCTATGTACTATCGTCCAACCATGTCTGTAAATTTCTCGATCTCTCCCTCTCCCTCTCCCTCTTCTTCTTTCTTTTTCTTTTTACTGTTTGTGAGTAATTAGTTGAATTTATGCAGGTTATGGGTCCCAGTATGCTCCCGACGTTAAGCATTACCGGCGATGTCGTACTTGTTGAACGCGTGTCTCACCGGTTAGGGAAACTGGGTTCGGGTGATTTGGTTCTGGTTCGGTCGCCGCTCGATCCTAAAAGGAACCTGACTAAGCGCATTGTAGCCATGGAAGGCGATAAAGTTACCTTCTCGTTGGACCCCACTCGGAGCCACAGCTCTCGTTCTCTTGTGGTACCCTTCTTTTTAATTGGGTCTTCCTTATTCTGAAAAAAAGGACCATTTTTTTTTGCATATTGTTGAGTATCGCAGTTTAATTGAAGTTGTTGGCTTAGATGCAGCTGAATGATGAGAATTTTGGCTTTTTTTTCTATTTGAATTTTATGATTGTTCATAACTAAAGAAAGTAGTGAAAGTAACAATTGAATGGAGCTTTGGATCGGTTGGGAAAAAAATGTTAAAGCTTGGATTGAATGATCATTTTCCTGATATTTTTCTTTGGGTTTAAATGGATAGGTTCCAAAGGGGCATGTTTGGATTCAAGGGGATAACTTGTATGTTTCGCGTGATTCGCGGCATTTTGGTCCCTCTTCCTTATGGGCTTATTGAAGGAAAAGTTTTTATGAGGGTAAGCAATGCTAAATCTATTGATTTTGGATTTGTTCCCCAGAATGAGTTGAACTTATTTGTTGGAATTAGTAGTATAGGTCATGTGATAAACATGGAGTCATTTGATGTACAATTTCTTTGGCATCTTACATTTATACTTTTGCCAGTGATCCGTTCTGAGTCACTTCTAATGCTTAATAAGCAAAGAGCATGCTTGACTGACTAATCGATTGGTTTTACTTGTCTTATTTGTGGACTTGGCCGGTTTTAAATGATTTAGAATTTTTTTTTTGGTTGAGACTTGAACTAGTTTGGTGGAACCTTTTGCTGTTGATGTCTTGAAACAAGCAAATTAGCTTCAGGTTAAAATAGTAAACATAGTCTTCTTGGTAGCTTTGGTTTGAAAAGTAGTTCTTAAGCTTACCTTTATTAGATTGGGATACAACTTAGTGTTGTAAAGGCGTAAACCTACGTGTGCTAGTGCCTTGTGTCTTAGCATTGTACAACAAAAGCACCTCAGACCCATTCAAGTGAGGGCCATTTGATCAAGTGCACGCCTGGTGTGCCTAGGCGAACATTTTTGCAAGTCAATAATAGGCATAAAAAACTGCCTATTGGAAATCTCTTAATTTTATTTTTGTTTTCACCCTCATTTGACACTTCATATACCTTGACTAGTAAGAAAAGTATGATACGGAACTCTTACTTATCATTTGAGAACATCAATACATTGGCCATAAAGAAATCATGCATATTGAGCAGCAAAAGAATTACAAGCTTTGTAGATAAAAATAGAGCACACTTAAAGAGTTTTTATATATCTCAAGTTTTTACATATTTATACGCACACGCTCACAAAACCTCGCACGCTACATGTTGCATTTTACTTCGCTATGCCTAAGGCATTATAAGGATTTTAGATCATTTTTTGCACCTTGTGCCCTTGACGACACTAACTTGTCTTCAAAGAAACATTTTTTTTCGATTTAAAAAATGTGAGACCTTTCACTTATTAACTTCACTGAATTGCTGAAAGAAATGAAAATAAGGTGCTGATGGTTTGTAATGCTTGATAGTCGTGCATGTGAAGAGGTTTAGAAAATGGGCAATGCATGCTATAATGAAGGTTATGCTCTATCGTCTTGTTCTTTAGGTATGGCCACCTAGCAGCTTTGGTTTATTGGGTCAATGAGAGAATGCAATCAAGGCATATGGTTTGCTGTTCATGCTTTTAAGATACGGACATGCGACATCGTTTGACCGACAAATGAAGAAAAAAACCCTTTATTCTTTATTCTGATCTACCGAGAACGGTGTTTCCTGGTTCTTATTTTAAATGATATTGCTGATTGCTGTGTTGGTCAAATTTTATACCAATTATGATAAACAATCACAACTAAACACAATGCGCACTTTTTATTTGGCTAAATATAAATGTATGTAAAAGTTCTAGTTTAACAATCTGCATTGCTATAAGAGCAATTATGATAAACAAACATCACTAATGGACCATATATGTAGTTCGCATGTATTCTCCGACCAAATTCTCACAACGATAGCTTACAAGAAAAGGCATATACACTGCTCGGAATAACTTATCAATCGTTGATTCCCTTTGTTACACCGAGGACAATGGCAATTGTAGCAAGAACAGCCTGCGAAAGTAGCAGCCTCATTAACCGATTTTCTAAGAACCCATCTCTAGGAAGAGGGGGCAAAAGGGTTCCAGTGCACCATGGCTTTCATAAAATCGAAAAAGCATATATAAATGATACTCACAGCAATTGTGCAAGCGATATATCCCGGTTTCTCTCGGTGGTCCATCCTCTCCCTTGCACAAAGTAGCATCAACAGTCCAATGTACCAGGGGATGGTCCCAAGGAAAAAACCAATGATGAACCTTCAAAGAAGAGATCAAGAACCAGACTATATAACTGGTAGCTATGATTAAAAAAAACAATAGCCAGAACAATAATAAATATTAAGTGGATTATGCTCCAGATTTGGGTTTTGGGTACATATCCAAGTGTCTGTCAAATTCGTTTGACATGATATTTGTATATAGGGTGTTGTCTAGCAGACTTTGTCATGACATTTTTTGCTTTGATTCTTCATTTTCCATGGCATGGGTATGGAGTTCTGATGCACCATATATATCAAAATAAAGGGAAAATTCTAGCATGCCTGTGTTAGAAACTATACTGTCCCCTGAATCCAAGTAAATGAGCTTAACGACGTTGTTTCATGGAAACAGAGACTTTACGGAGACATAAAGAGCTATACATTTCATGATAGCACTAGGCTGCTAAAATGGACAGTTATCAAATTTGGTCCATTCAAGCATTCATGTGAACATCTTATAGTTAAGATATGTATCCGCAGAATATAGCTGCACATGAAAAAATCATCCAAGACATGATCCTCAAGTAAGGCTCAATATATGTAAGCTGTGCATTGCATTTCTTATCCTGTAATTTTCTTGAAATTACAAGCATCCACCATACCAATCTCATCAATAAAATGTTTCCTTATAAGTCCCCCAAAGCTCAATGCTACAAGTCATAGCTATCCCCAAAGCTACAGAATTTTTCACATTTTTTATTAACCCACAACAAAAGGAGTAGAGAACATATTCATTAAGTTGTTATTTGCTTGACATTATGTTTTAAAAAACCTTAAAACAACAAAACAATGCAAGACTTACAGGAACCATCCAAGGCCACAGCCACAGCACGGTAGGCGACGCTCTCTTACAGGTCTTCCTTCAGCAACAGCATAACCTATACATCAAAGGTTTCAAGTACAAAGCATATCAAGAGCATAAAATTTTCATGAAAACAACGCAGGATTTGTTGTACCTGAGGAACAAACACCTCATTTGTTTAAGAATTGTTTTCATCAGAACTATATACGAGAAAAGAAACTCATACGCACCAACTCGAATAAAAAAAATACCAAAATATCACTGATCTTGCGATACACATCAATGAATCAAAACATTCTAATTCTTTATATAGTTTTAGCAAACTAAGATTCATACAATTTATACAATTTCCTGACAGGCTCTATACGTGTTTTGCCTTTATTTCTCATCTTTCTCTGAAATCTACTTCATTTCTTCTTAAAACTATTATGAAATTTATAGTAAAATATGTCAACCACGATAGCAAAACTTGGATACTCATGCTTATCCTAAAAAATCGGATCTTTCATCTTAAAAAACATGTTGATCATTCAAACCAACAAAAACCCAAATCTCAAAGCCCTTCCTTTGATTAACTAATCACGAAAGAAGAAAGTTTTGTCCCTCTTATTTGTAGACAAAGACTACCTGGAACGGTCTGATAACCTTGAGAATAATACTGAGAAGGAGGAGCAGAGGGCTCATGGAGGCCAGGCGGCGGAACAGGCTGAGGAAACCCAATAGCAGGGCCATGGTGTTGAGGAGGAGGTGGAGGAGGGTAGTTGGCTACTCCTTGGAAAGTTCCATATCGATTATGCTGGTGATCTACAACTACAGCTGTGCTTTTCTCGTCACCGCTCATTTTTTCCCCTTGTTTTGGAGAGTTTTGGAGAGTTTTGATTGGGATCTGGATATGCTTATGGATCAACTAGAAAAAGGTAGAATGATTACTTTGATGTTAAGATTTTTGGGTTTTATGAGTGGTGGGATCAGATTGAGGAACCTGCCTCGGCCTAGCTACCAGTTTGTCTTCTTCACTTCACAACTAAAATCATCGACTTTTTTCTTTTTTTATCTTTTATTATAAAAAATTGACTTTTTATATTTTAAAATATTTACGTGTGAAAGTGGATAAGCTTTTTTTTTGCCAAATTTAAAAATTAAGACTCATTAATGGATTGAGCAGTGAAAATGTTCATATTATATTTAACTTATTATATAAGATATGATAAAATATGATTTTATAATCTTAAATAATTATTATATCAAAGTCAACATATTAACGTCCAGCTCAAACAACCATTAATTTTTAAAGAAAAATGATAAGTTTGAAACATAATGAATAGTCGAGTGACCATTTTGTAATATTTAGTAGTCGAGAGACTTAACAAAGCAACTCCATATAGTCGAGGGATCATTTTATAACATTTAATAATCAAGTGACTCAATAAAATAATATTATATCATCGGAGACTATTTGTGTACTTTATCGTCAAAAGAAATGAATAATTTTATTAGAGATATAAATGAATTGATTTTAAACAAATAAATTTATATTTGTGTTTATTTGTTTATTTTTGGAGGTATAGATATTTGTTCACATCTGTTTAAATTTTTAAGTATTTATATTCATTCGTCAAATATTCATGACATATTTATTTAACGATTACAAATATATTCGTTTAATGTGTGGTAATTAAAATTCTATTTTTATGTTTTATTCGCAAACCAAAGAAAAATAGTAAAACTATATCACTAGTCCTTAAATTCTTTATATTATATAGTTTGAATTTCAAAATTCACTTTATTTTCAATTTAGTAATTGCCTTCACCATATTTAAAATGTTAAAGTATAAGAAGAAAAGGAGAAAAGAGTAAACGAACTTATAAACGAGTCGATAAATAACTCAATAAAAGAGTTTGTTTGCGAACATAAATGAACTGAACACATTTTTATTCATGTTCGTTCATTTATTAAATGAATATAAAAATTTGATCATACTCATATATTTAACTTAATAAATGAATATATACAAATAATCCGTCAAATGTTCTAATCATTTATACCCCTACATGCTACATTCCATATAATAGAAGGACTAAATGGAACCGATCCATATAATAGTAGGAGCAATGTGACCCATTCAATAACAAAGGAACTAATTTGAGCATGTCACTATAATATAGGGATCTATAGGTACTTTCACCTAAAATTAAATTATTTTCACCCTACCGTTTACCCAACAGCCAAAGCTCGTTGCTTGTCGACGGTCTTACTTCCCGCCTCAACAACGCAATCGAGACCCGATGTTTTCGTTCGGCCGCCATTACCAAAGCTTATATAACTATTTTTATTTCGCTTTACTTTTTCTTTCTTATTTTCTTTCTTTTTTGTTTTGTAATCGCTGGCCCAAACTCCATTTCAAAGCTATGTTTTTTACTCGTCACAAGAACTCAAATCCCCAAAGCATCCAATTTGGTGATTGACGAACCCCTGGTACAGTCTCTTTCCTGTTTGATTGAACTTTTCCTCATTAAGTGCAAGAAAAATCTTCTACTTTATAAAAGTTTTGGTTGTTGGTTTTGACTTGAAACTGATTTGATGGAATTCTTTTGGCTTAAATCTGCTTCTTCTTCTTTATCGTTCTTTCCTTTTTTTTTTATTTTGCAAAAGGGTTTCTTTCTTTTCTGTTAATTTATTGATTGAGGTGATACTGAATGCTTGTAGGGAAGTGGAGGAAGATAAGGGATTTAGCTGTATTTGGTTAAACAATTTTGTTTCTTTTTATTGTTGAATTTGAGCATTTAAGTTGAGCTGTGCAAGATTTGTTTAACCAAGTTTGCAGGTTCTTTAGTCCTTGATGTAACTAGCAAAGTTGCAATCGATCCGTGTTTTGCAGGTTTTTTTATGTATTTGTTTTTTATATGAATTCAGATCCCAATGATTATTCTAAATTGTTCCTCAATTATACATAGCTTAGAATCTTATTCTTGGGTTTATGGAGCAGTTTCTGTTGAAATTTGATTTTTTTTTCCATCCATTTATTCATCCTTTTTGTAGGCTTTATTGTCAGTATCATAACGGCAATGGAACAAGAAACGAGTATAAGGGTAACAATCCGCAATTGGAAACATGGTTATAGAGCTTTGTTGCATATGAGATGGGCCGCTGCTTTCGGGTTCCATCTATCAGTGGTTGGTTTAGTGGGAGTTGTTGGCATCGTATTGGCTGTAATAAGGGACGATAAATTGAGGGAGAAGAGAAAGAAACACTTCGAGAAAATACACTTGGTTCCTGGGTTGCAAAATCTTGGCAACAACTGCTTCTTGAATGTTATTTTGCAGGTTTGGTTCCTTTAAGCAAATAGGTAGTTTAGTTTTTGTTCAGACTCTGTGGTTGCTAACAAAAAGAGAGACGAAATAGGAAATGAACATTAGTTACATCTCGAGTCTTGTTTCTTTTTGCTTTTGTTAGTCGGTGCTCATTTTTCATTAAGGAAAATTATGGGGAAATGCTGTCCATTTTGGGTTCTTGAATCTACAATATTTCAGGCTCTGGCTAGCTGCTCATATTTTCAGCCTTTTCTTCAGAAGATACTGGAAGAATGCGACTCTACACTAGTTGAGGGGCAGTGTGAAAGCTTGCCACTTATAATTACTTTATCTGATCTCTTAGAAGGTAACATCAGCACTTTGTGAAGTGCTTTGCTTTTTCTAAATTTTCTGTATCACGGGTATTTTAATGTACTCGAATGTTGACTGTAAGTGTTTTTTTTTTTAATTTCCCCAATGACCATGGCACATAATATGGTACCTCAGCTGTGTCTCCGATGATTAGTTTAGTTGAGGATCGGAAATACATGTTTGACCTTGTCAACCTCCTTAGAGACTGTATTCAATGTGGTCATCACAGCATGAGCTATATATATTCCAATTTTGCAGAATTAGGCATGGCTGGAGAAAGGAGAGTTGCATTAAGCCCGCATAAAGTCATGCTTGCATTGGCACTTTATATTCAAAATTTTGATTTAACAAGTCACCAGGTGCATTGTTTTTGATATTATCCATAAACTTAACACCATCTATAGTGTACTTATCTTTTATGTTGCTTACATGCAGGATGCAGCTGAAGCAATTCTCCATCTTTTGTCTTCTTTAAGAGAAGAATTTCCGATGTCTTCCAGTCAAAGCACTCTAGCGGATTTTTGCTTCTCAAAGTTGTAGGATTCTGACTCCATTAAGGAAGGAGGATCAGAATGAGCAGAAAGATGGCAGCAACACTATCTTGGACCATTTATGTAGAGGGTTCTTATTCCCCGCGTATTTATCTTCCTTTGCTTTTGTCATGTCATGGTCAGCTAAGTTTGAACATCTTTAAATATATGATTATGATTCGTTATGATACCTCATTTGAGAATCTGGAATTTAAAAATTATTTAATGAAATTTTATCTAACCTCTCTTTTTCATTTTGGTGTTTCCCACTCAGATTTCTTTGGATTTTCAAAATTTTCATTATGGTGCTTCTTCCATTGTATGTTAATTAAAGGTTTGCCTATTATGGATGTTTAAGCTTGTAACTTCTTTGAAATTTCTTTTATAAATTGTGGACCCTCCTTTTAACTCTAGTGCGAATTTGTTCAATGCAATATTAGATGGCTGGATGTCATTGGAGGATTGCTTATGGCAGTTTGTCCTTGCTGAAAAACTCGAGAATTACTACTGCAGCCATTGTTGGCACAGTGCTGCAATAAAGTATTTATCTTGTGGAGCAAACGAGGTAGTGTCTTTTTAGTACTATAATGTAAACATTAGGTTGTTTTCTATTACTTGATGAGAAAAAATGTTATAAACTTTGTCTCAGATTGAGATTGAAAAGTTGAAGAGAAGTGCAGAATCCTGTGTCGAAATTTAAGTTGTTTAGAAATTATGCTTTTTCTAGCAAAGTCCAATTGCTTCTAGAGTATCCATATGTTGTTTAGGGTCATAGTAAAGACTATTCTTGTAGACTATCTGCACGAGTAGTTTTTTCCTATGATGCTTTTTTTTTTCAATTGTATACTTGCAGATTCTATGCCTTCATCTACAACGTGCTTCAATGAATGAATTTGGGGAACTGATCAAGCTTCAGGTAGTTTCCCCGCTTGTTCATTACTCTCACATCATTGCTTCCTAAGTAAAGTATTTCTTGCTTGTACTTCTTCTTTGTTGGAAGTTATATGAGAACGGTTGTCATAATAGTAAACTATGCATTAATGGATGCAGGGTCATATTTCTTTTCCACTGATTTTAGACCTGTCATCATTCATGACTACTAAGGTGGAAATAACAAACTGGGAAGGGTTCCGTAAAGGGCAACTGAAGCTGCAAAGTCAAAAGCCAAGGCCTCATCTCGACCTTATCAATGTGCAATATGAAACCATTTTCAATCACATTAGAAAACCAATGGGAGAAAAGGTTTCTTCGGAAACATTAGAAAACCAATGGAAGAGTAAGTTGTACCCAACTGATTGCAGTTCAAAGGCCTCCAACACGCTTGAGCAACATTATGACAAGGTTGGATGCATAAATACTAATCTGAACATATGTAGACTGTTACGTAATTTTGAGCAAAATAAGTTAATAACTATTTTTGTTAGTTCACTAGGAGGTTAGTTTTAACGTATTTAGAGCACGTCTTGTGAACTGTGTTAAGATGGCAGAGCTTTAGAAGCTTCTTGCCTTGGTTCTCTTGTGCCTTTCGCAGTTTGGCATTTGTGCGATGAATGCTAAACTAGCTTTTTCCTCATGTTTTCCTTTTTGGCATTGCTTGCTCTGCTATTTTTGTGCAGGTTCATCATTGAAAAACTGTGAAATTGTTATCAAATTTGATTATTGGTGCATGATATGCCAAGAGAACAATTTCTCAGATCTTTTGCTGCTCGTGATCACAAATGGCAATTTATTAACATTTACATGGACCGAGATTCCCATTCTAGCACCCAAAACCTGTTTTTTGAAAAATCGTGACTCATTCCTTGGAATATGCATCGTTTCTTAACTAGGTTAAAAAAAACTTGA